AAAGGGCGTCCTGTAGCCAGCAGCCCCTCGGGTGGCGATGTCGTGGCTGTGGGCACCCAGCTAAGGCGGGGGGACAAGGTTGTGAAGGGGACGGCTGATGGTGGGGAGCCCCAGGAGATGCAGTCACCCCAGGACAAGTGTCGTGATTCACGCTTGGCAATAGTGAACTTAACTCGTGGTCCCTGATCACAGAAATGATGCGCCAGCCACGCTCCAGACACTCGCAGGGTGACAGGAGTCACTGATTTCACGAGGACCCTCTAAAGAAGAGATTGGGAAAGGGAGGTGGTACTCTCTACATCCATTTGCCGAAATGCTGTATTTCACACTAAGATCCAGGAAGGTAACTGTAAGAAACACGGCCACGAGAGTGGTGTTTCTAACCTAAGCACGTGAGCACTGGATCCATCAAGAACCCTTCCACACCGCTCCCGAGAGTGCACCATGCCTGCTCCCGGCGGCCCTTGGATAGCAGCCCAAGCTCACTCCTACTCTGCTGTTCTGTTCCACGTCAGCACGCCTTCCTCCAGGAAGCCTTCCCAGCCGCCCCTCACCCTGTCCGGGCCAGATTTCTCACTGCGTGCTTTCACCTCCCCTCCCTGTGTGCCGACTGCCTGCTGGCGTGCCTTCAGTCCACACCAAACCAGAGGTGCCGTGACAACATAGCCGTGCCACCGTCACCTGCTGTCTCACCTGCTGGCAAGGCCCGCCCCCAGCCCAGCACTGGGAATGTCTGTGGGATGAATTCATCAACACCCTGCAAGCCAAAACCCCAGGAGCTTCTCCGTCTATCCTGCCTTCTGCCAGCCTTTACACTTGATGGGGGACTTCACAGGGCTGGACACGTGCAGAGCACAAGGGGAAAGGAACCAAACCTCTCTTAACCTTCATTATCACCATTCCAAGGACAGCCGTGAGCCAGACAAATGAGGAGCCCACCAAGCAACTGTGCACACTGGACTCAGCTCACTTATCTATCAGATGCAGACAAGGTCTCCCTCGAGGGGACCCTGAGGATGCAAGCGCCCTAACTTCCACACGGGCCCAGTAGCTACGCCTTCCATATTTATGCTTCCAACCCGAAGCACACTGCTGCTTTGTGCTCCTGAGGACACGTGTTCCTGTACGGGGTAGAATGAGGACACCCACCCCCTTCTACCAGGGGGGCGGGCAGAGGCAAGCACCTCAACAATCTAGTGGAAAGGTCCCCCTCCTGGAGGGCAGGCCACCTTAAGAGGAAGTCAAATGCCTCCTTACCTAGGGATGCCAGGGCTCCAGGCGGGGCAGTAACACCACCACACTAATCCCAGCCCCATGGCCTTCCATTTAAGACCACGCTGTGCCCTCTCTAGCACAGAGCACTGCCAGTCCGCCCACCTCTGAGGTGGCAGTGGAAACACCACCTACAGGCAGAGGGATTAAAGTGGAGTCCAAGAACCACAGCACCCTCACCTGTGGGCAGAGCCCGAGCCACTTGAGAGCTTGACCACAGACAAGCCTCCTTCTTCAGCCCTGAGCAAGGCCTGAGGCTCGGTGGGGATGGCTCCTCACGGGGGAAGTGAAGAGGCAGGGGACTGGCTGAGTTCAGGACTCTGGGAAGAGACAGGGCACTGGGGACCCAGACTGGATAGACAGGGACAGCATCCCAGCCAAGGTCTGCCAGGATCACCTGTACCTGCTCCCTCCACCAGAGCTGTTCTGTGAGAACCCAAGGAGTGAGATGCCACCCCAGGGGTAGAGCGTGTGTCTGATATGATCCAAGGAAGGCCAGGGAGGTTCGGAAAGTGGAAGGGAAGCACCTCCCCACGTTCCCACAAACACCGGGCTCCCCGGCACTCACCACTGGTTTTTGAGGATGGTGGGACCAGAGCCAAACAGGACCTCCCAGACCAGCGGCTCACCACTCGCACCCCAGGCCAGCAAGAAGCCTCTTCAGGCAGGAAAGGCAGAGGCCTGCAGCTGGCTGTGGGGGGCATTTATCACCTTCCCGACACATTGCTCCCGGCTGGGAGGGGCCCCTGTTCTTCCTGACGCCCCGGGAGCCCGACGCAGGCACCACAGAGCAAGTTCTCTGAGTACCATACTTATTGGCTGAATATTTTATGAATGAATAGAGAATGTATGAGCTAGGAGCATTGAGAAATGAGAATTTAAGTACAAGGCTCAATAACGAGGAAGCCTGAAGCACGAGACTAATGTGTGATTATTTGCGAACGGGACTGCTAACTTCATTCGGCCTTCCATCCGTGCGAGCGATCCAGGAGAGAACAGGCTTGACGATTTCTAATTTTTAACAACCGGTTCCACGTCAGCATCAGAGGACGGCCAGATTTACCTCCCCTGGGATCTGGGACCACATCAAAACACCCAGACACAGACCCGGCAGAGAGCAGACAGCCACCCCCACAACCTCGAGAACGGCGCTTGGCCCAGGCAGCTGCCGGGGGTGTAGACCCCATGGACGCACGGGGCCCTACAGGAGCCAGACGCATTCGGCCGTGTGTGCGGGAGCACAGGAGCCCCCATGCAGCTGCCCCCACGCGGCAAGTCCTCTGCAGGGGACCTGACAGCCACCTCCAGAGGGACTGTTTCGGGCTCCTCTCAAAGGCAAGCCACGAACGCGCCAAGTCACTGGACTTCAAGCCTCCAACTTTTGGCCCAAACTGTCCTGCAGGAGGGACCCCAGGGCCTGACTCTGCATTCGTGTGCCCTCAGCAGTAATCACATTCAGCAGTGACACTCGGGAGCAGCCTCTGAAAGGATTAGCACGGACACGGACAAAGTGGCAATTCATGCAACGAAATACAAACAGCAGTCGAGAGGAGAGAAGCAGATTTATATTTAGCTCCAAAGCAGAATGCTGATTTAAAGTTATAAAAAGATGTATTTTTTAAAAAGACATATGTGAGATAGAACCACTTGTCATAAAAAAAAAAAAAAAAACTCCGAAAATAATGTTTGGTTGTAGATATAAATACAATAAAAGTAGCAAAACATGGTATGAATGATTCCGTCGCCTCCAAGACAGCAATCCCCCCGCCCCCACCCTGCCCGGGGAGGGAGGGAAGAATAAAGATGGTGGTCTGGTGATGAGGACTGAGCTACTCTTTCACTTAATTTTTTCCAGCACTTTCTTATGAAAGATGTCAAATATAATGTTGAAAGAAGTCTCCTGTGAACATCCTCTAAGGCCCTTGGAAGAGTCCACCATTAATAGTTTACTCTATGTGCTTAGCACCTCGTCTCTCCACATTCCACCCCTTTACCCAGTGTTAATCTTTCTTGGGATTCTGAAGACTGCTGCCCACAGCACGCAGCCCTCTGGAGCCTTCCACGACAGGCCTTCAGTTAGAGCTCAACATTTGTACACCTTTTTTCCTTTGATGTGAAAGTGACTTAGGACGAAACACGCCAATCTAACGTGCACATTTGTTGGATTTTAACAAATGCGAACACAGGTGTAGCCCACACCTACATATGAAGTTGTACAGCAGGACCCCCCAGGAAACCCTTGTGCCCCTTCCTGCCCAACCCCCACCCCAGCCTCTGCCGAGGCAACCGATGTGCTGCTATTTCCATGGCAGACGAGTCTGCTCGTCCTGAGATTTCAGGCGAACGTGATCCCACAGCGCCTTGCTTCTCTAGGGGAGACCCCCTCGGTCGGTGCTGAGTTCCTGGCTGTGTATTAGGAATGTGTTAGGTTTATTTCTGAGTATCACTCCACTTGCAGGAAAAACGCCACCCTCTGCTTATCCACTTTCCTGTAATGGACATCTGGGCTCTATTTTTTGGCTACGAACATTCTTGTGTAGGTCTTTTTGTGAACAAACATTTACATTTTTCTTGAATAAATTACTGGATTTGGAACTGCTGGGCATAGGGTAGGTGTACGTTTACTTTTCCAAGAAACTGCAAACCCTCTTCAAAGTGGCCACAACCGCTCACACCCCCACCTAGGCAGGCGGGTCCGGCTGCTTCGCATCCTCACCAACACCCCGCACTGTCCGTGTCCGTCATCGCTCTGATGGGTGTGTGGCAGTAGCTCACTGTGGCCTGAAATTACAATCCCCTCACTGACTGTGTTCATGTCAGCTTTTTAAAAAACAAAACAAAACAAAAAACATTTTATTTCCCTAAAATAAGAGGAAGACACAGACAAGACTGACAGAAAAGAAAGACAAAGGGAGGGTGGGAAGAAGAAAGACAGGAAGAGACAGAGATCTGGGGCAAATATCACAAAGTGCTTAAATCTGGGACGTGTTTGCTGTTTTTCTAAATTGTTTTCTCTATGTGGGAAGTATTTTGCAATTAAAGATAAAAATTGTATTCTGCTTCCACCTCATCCCAGCTATAATTCCATCTATGCCATCCGAGCTGGGCTTAGAGACATGGGTGCCGATGTGAACAGGGCCCCTCAGGCAGAGGGTGGCCTGGGGAAGGGGCCCCCAGGGCAGAACAGCTTCCTCCCCAAGTCAGGGAGCTCCACCTACCCCAGGACACGCGCTGGGGGCCCCTTGGTGCGGGTCAGCGCTCCTGTCCAACTCCGCTCCTGCTGGACCAGGTCATGTCCACGGCTCCGGGCCAGGGCTCAGTGGAGGCCCCTTTGCCGTCTGGGCACCGGGTTTGGGTGGTACCACACCTCCCACAGGTCTGGGCCTGGCCTGGCTTTTTGTGGAATTGGTCCAAGGGACTTCCTGGAAGTGGTGACCCAGGCCCCTGTGTCCCCAGATACAGCTTTAAGAATTTGGACACGAAGCCATGCCTGGTGCCTCAGTGTCTCCTGAGACGTGGCTCCTGGGAGCACAGGTCACTGTTTCCTTCCATGGACACCCGTGGCCTTACCTGGACTTTGCGCTCGCCTCCAATCTGAAGCCACTTCAGATTCTTTCACTGAACCATAATGCCTCTGAGGGAGACAAGACCGTCTACCCTCCGGGGTAGCTCAGTGTCTCCAAGCCAGGTGATGGGAGCAGGGAGAGGCGGGACGTGGGGACACTTACCGCTGGCACTCGCCGGCGTGCAGAATGAGCTCCTCGTTGCCCCGGGCGCTGACAGTCAGCTCATGCTCCGTGGAGTTGAAGACGTCCAGGAGCAGGTGGCACTGCCGGGTACTGCGTGGAAGACAAAGGAAAGCTGAGGATCTTCTGGGAGCCAAAGAGGAGAGCAACTTGGCCTTTTTCTCCTCCCCAAGGACCTCGCATTTCTCGAGGACATCAGAGGAGCAATGCATCGAAGTGTCACATGGCCCGGCATAAAGGGTTACAGAGGCTCACTCTGCAGAACGGGCTGGGCATCAGACCCTCCCTGGCCCCGGGGACGCATGCTTTAGTGCGGTGTGCCCTGTACATATGAAACCGCCCTGGGACGGTAACTGGACCCCTCCAGGCCTCGTGCATGTGAGGACTTGAGCACCCAACACAGAAATAAGACAACAGTTGGCAAAGCACGTGGCGCACAGCGCCTGTCGATGAACCGCAAGTCCACGTCCCCCTCAGGTCGTGACCCGGTCATCAGGCCTGCGGGACTCCTGCAGGGGCCCAGCAAGGTGCGGGGCACTGGCACGTGGAGAAAAGCATCAGCGGGGGGGGGGGGGGGGGGGGGGGGGGGGGGGGGGGGACACCTACCGTGAGCCTCAGGCAGAGGCAGACTACACCTTCCTTACTCTCTCCCACCCTCCTGACTCCTCGGGCCCTGCTCTCTCTAGTCAGAAGGTAACCACACACTCGGATCCCCAGTGCTCCCGCCACAGGACAAGTCCAGGAGCCAAAGTTATAGCCAATAAGGACAGACTTCTGGAGACCTTCCATCCCAAGTAAGAAAATCCATCCCTGAGAGAAGTGATCCCCTCTCAGCCTCCCTGTTCCCATGCACCACCCCGCCTCCCACGAACAGGATGCTGAGCAGCCCGGCATCTGCTGGGAGGCATGGAGGCTGTGGGTGCGGGTGGCTCCGGAGGAGTCCGGGAGGCCAGGGCATCTGCAGTAGCGGAAGCGGCCGCTCGGTGCCTCCTGCCCGCCAGGCTCCTCGGCTACGTGCACACAGAAAACACCAACCACACATGCGCCATCTGTGTTAGTCCCCATTCGTTAGGTTTCCTTCATACTTGAAAGCTCGCCTGAAGCTCGGCCAGTGTCTTAAATACCAAGTATCACAGCGGGCACGTGACCAGGAGCCAGTAAGTTTGCTCCTGTGAACGGACAGCCATACCCACGACCGGAGCAGACACAGATGTCAGCGACAGAGGCAGAAACTGTTCTGGAGCGAGGTAAGCACTTTTTCACAGGGGGAAAAAAGACTCAGAAAAAGATCTGTGTTTGGGGTCTTCTTCAGTTTAGTATGTCCAAACCATGACCCTTCGGGGGCACCTGGGGTGGCTCAATTGGTTAAGCGTCCAACTTCACCTCAGGTCATGATCTCGCAGTTCGTGGGTTCGAGCCCCACATCGGGCTTTGTGCTGATGTGCAGAGTCTGGAGCCTGCTTCGGATTCTGTGTGTGTGTGTGTCTCCCTCTCTGCCCCTTGCCCACTCACACTCTGTCTCTGTCTCTCTCTCTCAAAAGTAAATAAACATTTTTTAAAAATTTAAAAACAAAACAACAACTGACCCTTCAAAGGGCATCACAATTCTCAAATTTATGTCTCAAGGCTTTGCTGGTAGCCAAGGAAGTGGGGAGGGCAAATATCACCACATGCCAGGGCTGTCTGCACTTCATTTCATCTCAGCGCCCTTGGGAGGCTGTCCTCCCCAGACCCCTTTATAGGTAGGGAGGGTGAGGCTCAGGGCATGGCCACTAACACCAGCGAGGCGGCTGACACTCAAGTCTTAGAACTCAAAATCCTGCACTTTTCAGGGTAGATGGAGACAAGTATTCTTACCCTCACAGTCTGTTCTTTCCAGAGGAGGGATCTGAGGGGGAGAAGCGTGCGGTCACCTGGCTGGGGACGCATGCGCACACACCCACACACACACCGCCGTCATCACCAACAGCACCAACAGGCTTCAGGGTGACTGTGAAACACCAACTCTTCAAGATGTGTACATGTAAACCCACTCTGAGGGGAGGAAGGTAAAGCTTTCTTGTTCCTGCTATTTCTGTGAGATGTTGCCCCACACATCTTCAGAGAGGCAGGTGCACATTGGTTGATTCTAGGTTCTTTGGGTGGGAGTGTTTTCCCCAGAGGTACAGCACTTGGAAAATACTCATTAGCTCTGACAGCTGCATACAAGAAGCCTCTTCACTCGGCTCACAGAAAAATGAGCTTTCAAGAATGAAGATCTATTCTGCCTTTGTCATAACTTCATGAAATCTTTAATCACAGCAAAATCTTTCATCAGGAATGGGGATTCGTAAAACATTTATCAGAGGGGGGAAATTGAAGTGATTTTTTAAAGCAGGGAAGAAAGGACTCAGATATATGTTGTTTTCACGCAGAGAATGTTAGAGAACAGCACGGGCATGACAACATCAGTACGTAATACTCGTGTGTCGTCTATTTTTTCTGACTCCCTGAGGGTGGGGGCCTCTGGATCTAGCATTTCCGTTCCTCCTCGTTGTTGGCATCATGATGTACTGGCAGATCTTTACTTTCCATCATTCATAAATTAATTTCCTCAACTGCAGTAGCATTTTGTACCCACCATAATGTTCTTTATTCTGTGTATCTTTTCATACCACTTTGGATGGTTTTCTTAGGTTTTATGCTCCATTTGAGCGTATAGCTATTTTTAATTCCAGCTTGCTTTGCTGTTTTGTCTTGTTTCTTTTTGTTTGTTTGTTTGGTTCTGGATCCATTTTTATGAAGCATAGGGAAACCCAGGAAAAGTTCCTGGAAAAACCGGTCCATCTGCCTGGGAAGGGGATGATGGTGTCAGGTGGACAGGAGACACACATTCCTGGCAAAGGTAGTAGAGTGTGTGTGAAACCATCTCAATCGAGTTAGTATGTACTGTTTGCTCTGCTGAGAATTAGGAATTATATTACTTCATCTAACACATACAAATATCCACTGAGTGGTATGTGCCAGGTACTCTTCCAGGCACTGGGAGAATGTACCACATTAAGCAAGTGAAGTTCAGGTCCACTGTCATGGAAGTCACACTCTTGTGATAAGAGAGGACTGGGAAAAATGAGGGGAGTTTACAAAATAAAACATTTAGTCATTTTGTAAACTGAGGAAAAACACACTCAAAAGTCAGTTGAATAGCAGAATAAGACACAGACCCACATGAATCAGTAACTTTCTTATATATCAACTAAAAACAATCACCAAATAATTGTTTTAAGAAAATATATTTACAATAGCAATGCACTTAGAAATAAATCTTTTTAAAAATGTTTGCAGGACATTTATGGAGAATTGTTTTAAAGTTTTATGGGCCAGGACTAAAGACAATGAAGAAATGCAGAAATGTATTACATTCAAAGGAGAGGAAGACTTAATTTTTTTTAAAAATACGTCTCCTCTTTATAAATTTCTAGAAAATCAATGAAACATAATACAAAATCCCAAAAGAGTTTCAGTTTTGGTCAAAACTGTTCAAAACACTGATTCTACAATTTATAGATAAGACCAAAGGGCAAAGAACACACAAGACAATGATGAGGATGATGTTTGGAAGGGACCTGACCAAACAGATATCAAGAACTGTTAAAAAACTGTAGCAATGAGGACAGTGATATATAAATACATCAATGGGGAAAACAACCCCCAAACAGATCCATGAATATAAGACAACTAGATAATATGACTAAAGTAGCAGTATTGATTAATGAGAAGATTCACTAACTAGTGCTGGTACACATGGTTATGCAGACACACAAAGAAATGATATCCCTACCTCACACCATCAACAAAAACAAACTTCAAATAGACTGAGTAACTAAATGTTTAAAAAAAATTAAGTCCTTTAAAAGAAAATATAGGTAAATCTAAATACGAAGACATCAAGAACTATGTTAAATATAAATGACCTAAACATTATAATTAACAGAAATTGTAAGACTAGACTAAAAAACCAAGATATAACTGTATGTTATCTAGAATAAAGTCACTTTAAATATAATGACATAGCTAGGCTAAAAGTACACCTGGGTGGTGCCAGTTAAGTGTCCAACTTCAGCTCAGGTCATGATCTCACAGTTTGTGGGTTTGAGCCCCACGTCAGGCTCTGTGCTGACAGCTAGCTCAGAGTTTGGAGCCTATCTTCAGATTCTGTGTCTCCCTCTCTCTCTGACCCTCCCCTGCTCATGCTGTCTCTATCTCTCTCTCAAAAATAAATAGAACATTAAAAAAAAACGTTTTTAAGTACATGAATAGGAAAACAATATGCCAAATAAACATTAACTTAAAAAAAAAACCCAATCCTGGAGTATTATATTAGTATCATATACTTCAGGGTACACTTTGGAAAATAAGCAGACATAAAGAGGAATGTTATACCCTAGGAAAACATAGGCAGAAACCTCTTTGACCTCAGTGGGAACAACTTCTTACTAGACACATTGCCGGAAGCAAGGGAAACAAAAGCAGACATGAACTATTGGGACCTCATCAAGATAAAAAGCTTGTGGACAGCAAAGGAAACCATCAACAAACCTAAAATGCAGCATAGAGATTGGGGAAATATATTTGCAGATAACATATCAGATAAAGGGTTAGTATCCAAAAATCTATATAGAACCTATCAAACTTAACACCCAAAAAACAAACAAGAAGAAATGGGCAAAAAACATGAATAGGCATTTTCCCAAAGAAGACATCCAGATGGCTAATAGGCAAATGGAAAAATACTCAACATCACTTATCATTAGGGAAACACAAATCAAAAGCACAATAAGATACCATCTCACACCTGTCAGAATACCCAAAGTTAACAACACAAGAAACAATAGGGGTTGACAAGCATGTGGAGAAAGGGGAACCCTTTTACATGCTTGGTGGGAATGCAAATTGGTGCAGCCACTCTGTAAAACAGTAGTTTCCTCAAAAAGTTAAAAACAGAACTACCATATAATCCAGCAATTGAACTACTAGGTATTTAACCAAAGGATACAAAAATACTGATTCAAAGGGTTACATGCACCCTGATGTTTTAGCCGCATTGTCAATAA